CCTTCACAAACGCGGAACCTCTCCTCCCTCCCTGCTCAGCCACCGGCCCGCAGCTCTGAGGCGCGGGCTCTGAGGCTTCTCTCCCCGGACCCTTCGCCCTTCCTTAAAGCAGTTCAGTTGGTCGCAGTAAAGGGACCAGGAGTTCTCGGCCTTCGGCTCGGCGGGGATGCAGCCGAGCCACAACCGGATCCTCGAAACGTCCAGGGCCAGCGCAGACGCGCTGCTGGTAACTGACCTCCCGCGCACCCGGGCCTCCACGCAGTCTCTCACTCAGAGGCCGAGGCGACTCCCTCCTCCGGACGGCGCTTCCATCCTCTCCGGCCCCATCCTCTCCAGAGCGCGCAGATGTGCTTCCCAGCACTAGTCCTGAGCGCGTGGCCCCGGGCGTAGACGCCTTTCTCGTGCTCCCTCCTCCGTACCGAGCGGAGAGAAACTTGAGCAGAGAAAAATCTGCAGAGCAATTTTCTGCTTCCCGAACTTGTTGCGCTCCTGTCCCGCAACTCTTCCATGTCCCACGGGCTACTGATATTTTGCAAGTGAGTGTTCCTCTGGTTGTGTGTGGAAGTGCTCATGCTCAGTGCATTTCAGGGAGTGCAGAGTTTTAGCAAGGTTAGAGCTAAGGACGAAAACAGTTAGCATGACTCTTGAGGCTGACGGGGCTTTGGGCACACACCTGTTTGGGATCATTAAGGTAGGGCCGGGGTCCGATTGGCCTGCACGTTACCCCTCTTTTTCCCGTGGGAGCCTATTCTCTTACTGGGCTTGCAGACACTTCAGATAATAAAGGGCTTTCCGGGCAAAACTGGGAGCGACCGTCCGCGCGTTTCCGGGAACCGTTGGTTACCAGGTCCTCCGGGTATCCCATCCCCCAATCTCCTATTTCTGGCCGAGATGAACTCGACTTTCCTTAACAGATTTCATCACCCAGACTCTGACTTTTTTCTGTTTTCAATCGTTTGACTAATGGTCTTTAGTCCCACCTACATGGAAAAGGTCCTAACAAATGGCATTTTTGTCACTCGGAAACGCTGGGCAGGGATCTATTGATATTTGGAACTTGAAATTGTGTTAACAAATTGTGTGACCACACTACACACTCAGTACACTTATCAAATATAGCAACTGTGCCCGAGGCGACCTCTGCTTCCGATCTTCCTTTGATTTCTGGTTGCGTCTGTAGGTAAGTGAGCCCAGGGAAGGATGGGTGGAAACGTCACCCGTGAGTTCCAGTGATAAATAAGTCTTTTAGACCACAGTGGTGTGAGCTGGGTTACATTTAATCTTCTTGCTTACCTATTTCCCCAATAAGGTGATGAATCCTAAAAATCCTTCTTGGTCTGAGTTGTATGATTCTATGAATGCAGCAGTAAGATTTTTTCTTTTTCTTTCTTTTTGGAAACAATAGACTTACTGAGAAAACATTGTTTGAGGTAAAGATAAGTGCCAGAGATAAGTGCTTTACCCCATTGCATCACTTGCAGGCAAAACTATTTCTTTAAAACATCAGTGTTGTACAATATAGCCTTTTCCAAAGTGTTTAGTAATCAATGAGCTTGTGAGTCACAGATGGCCAGCTGTTTCCCTTTCACAGATCGAAAAGTTGAGGCTTGGTGATTGAAAGATTTACTCATGAAGTCCGGGGTGGATGGTAGCTAAAGGTGGATAAAAATATCTCTTCTGATTCCTGTTCACTTTTTTTCCCTCAAACTTTTATTTATTTTTCTGGTAACAATGCATCAGTTGATGTCTTTTTCCTCTATCACTTTAAAAGAATGCCACTTTTCTTTAGATTGTGTACATGTGGCTATTAAAAGCATATTCTGAACTACAATTCTCCTCTTCCTCTCTGTTCAGATAGACAATATCTGTTTTGGTTTTTTTTCCCACTAGTGGTGCTGGGGATACCCAGGGCATCCACCATGCTTTTTTATTGAGCCATGTCTCCAGTCAGACACTACCATTTTAATGCAGGAATTTACTTCAAATGCTTTACAGCAAAAGACTTGGTTAGGAAGAAGGGGAAAAAATGATTTGTCAATAAGAATGTACTGGTGACCTGAAATAGAAAGTAGATATTATTCAATAAGAAAATGGAGCCATGGGGGGGGAATCTCAAATTCTAATCCCAGGTAGAACAACTACTAATAGGATTTGGGAAGAATCTTTAAAGTGAATAGAAATTCTGGTGTGTGTGTGTGTGTGTGTGTGTGTGTGTGTGTGTGTGCGTGTGTGTGTGTGTGATGTTAATTAGATGGTGAACACAAACTTAAAAATTCCATGCATTTGCATTTCTTTTCTTTCTCCTGCCCTTAAGATGTCAGGGTTCATTCTGGGTCTATGAGAGCAGAGTGAGTGCATCTCCTGACCTCTGTCTTGAACAGCAGGTAAATGGGAGACACTATTAGCATAAGCACAGCTCTACCTCATTGGAGTCTCCAGGGAGCCTGGGTCTGATTCATTACCTGAGCATTAAATATGGGAAGATACTTCGTCCCCCTCACTCTGGTCCTCTCTTAATGGCTATTCCTAGGCAGAATGGATGGGAAGGAAAAAGCTAAGAACTGGAGTACCAGTCATGCTAACTGTGGTACAGTTTTCTCGTTTTAAAAAAGCCTCTGAAATCGGTGGTAAACAATCCAATAGCAAAGTTCTCCCAGTCCCTCCCCCCTTTTAATACAAGAGGTTAGTGAGGGTGACAGAGGATAGACACAATTTAGTCTCAATTTAATGTAACATGACAGTACTATTTGTTTTTTGGCCTTCAATACTGATCAAAGCTTCCATAAACTGAAAAGGTATTTTGTCTGAATTACAGAGGCTTTTGCCTCAACTCAGTGTCACTTGGTGGTGAAATTTGACAAAACTATGCTTATTATGATATATTATAGAAATACACACAGAGATCTGATTTTGAACACATAAAAACACCTTCAGATAGCCATGGTAGGCAAGTCATCCCACATCTAACCCCAAATATAACAAATTTATTTTTCCTTATTTGTTCCCAATGCTTTATTTCTGATGGACTTCACAGATTCTCAGAGAGGAACTCTTGGTAATATTTCTGTGCACATGACACAGAACATAAGGAATGGACAACACGCCACCTGGCACAGTATTAGCTGAGAGTGACACTAAGAAATGCTTGACCAAATCCATGACACTGCTTCAAGAGATGAGGACTTGCTCTTGCGGATGTATTTGATAATTAGAGAGATAAAAGATATGGAGAGCCAAAGCAAGCATGATGCTTTCTGATACTGAGATTGTGCAATAAATATATTTAGTTGAAGCAGTGACTCTTTAGTCTTCCTGAATTGAGATTAATATACATGCACAAATAATTTACTAATTGTAATATGTTTTATATATTTGTTTTTATTTTTGGCATCACATTTTAAAAAGGATGTTGACAAGCTAAAATTTATTCAGCACATAGGAGTCTGCATAGTTATGGCTGTGCCCATAACAAAGAACTCATAAGTAACAAAGAACTCTAAGCTTTTTAGATTAGAGGAGGAAAGCTTTGGAGAAGGGAGAAGAGTTTAAATATGGTAGTTGTATTTGATTCTTTTTTTGTTGTTTTTTTGGTACCGGGGATTGAACTTGGATCCTTATGCTTGCAAGGCAGGCCACTGAACCGCTGAGCTAAATCCCCAGCCCCGGTAGTTGCATTTGGATGGTTGCAAAGATATTAAGTATTTAGGCACATCTATTCTGCTATGCCACAGATGGTAGGGTGGTCCCAGGGAATCAGATTTTGGAACAACATTTGTGTACCTCCTATCCAACAATAGAACAGGTCAAGCCCACAAAACACTAAGCACCTGCACACTGGAAAAGTTGGGCTCAAGCTAGAAGGCAAAACCTAAAGGATTCTCTTTATGAGTATCTCCACAAGTAGGAGTTTGGGCTAGATATCTTGTGTGCTGCTTCTTCTCCTTCTTTTCCTCCTCCATTTTTTCACTTCCCAGGCCCTATGCTCTGCACTTTTTGCCAGGCCCTTTGTACTGTATGCTTTTTCTTAACCATTATGACCCTAGTATTCTGTATTCTTTTTGTAAGGAAAGGAACTATAAGTTCTAAGGTATTAAAGTTATTTGTTTTTCACTAAGATTTCAGTCCATATACTTTAATTAAAAAAAAAAATATATATATATATATATCTCCATGACAGTTAGAAGAATGAAGAGAAATAAGAAAGAGAATAAGAACAGGTTTCTTTTATTTTTTATTTTATGTTTTGTACCAGGGATAAAACTCAGGCCCTTGAGCTTGCAAGGCAGGCTGCAGAACCACTGAGTCAAATCCTTGGCCCTAGGTTTCTTTATTCATTGAAGAATTTCCAGCATTTCAAATAAAACAAGGTGTTAACAGTTCCACTAAGTTTAGGAGAAAAATACAGTCAATTGTGAGTGTTTGAAGTGTCATTTGACAAAATCTGAGCCATTGATTTTATACGTGGAAGAAATCAAGCCCCAGATACAACCTGTGCTAATGCCACATAAATAGTGGCAGAATTAAGCCTAGAATTTTTTTTTTCAGTATTTGGGACCAAACCTAGGGGTACTGTATCAGTGAGCTATATCCCCAGCCATTTCATTTTTTATATTGAGATAAGGTCTGACCAAGTTGTCCGGGCTGGCCTGAAACTTAAAATCCCCTGCCTCAGTCTCCCAAATAGATAGGAATACAGAAGTGTGCCACCATGCCTGGGAATTTTAGTATATGTGCTGCCGAAGTGAGCACTGCCTGCGAATTTTAAATGTTAACCCCTTACAAGCAGCCCATGTTGTAATAAGTGATGGTGGTACTACTGTCATTGTAGCACATGGAGGACAACCTTTTCATAATAAGTTTGGAGGTAAAAGTTTTGAAAAATTATAGCTGCAAATTAGCAAAGTCTTTCCTCAACTTTTGGAAACATTTGTTTCTGATTAAAGGAATCTGAAATGTAAATGAGCTTTCTTGGGAGATGCTATTTTCATTCAAGTTAAGGTTGCATAGTACTTGCTGTGATGTTTCAGAAGATATTCCTGTAGGATGACCTAGATGGTTTTTAAGAGACTTCAAGTTTCTACACTTTAGTCTAAAGGATTTTTTTAAACCTAATTTCTCTTAATTATAGATGAAGCAACTGAGAGTCAGAAAGATTACTTGTCCTAAATCACACAGCCTATTAGTTTGGTGAATTGTGGAATTAATATGCCTGGAGGTCAAATATAATTCCAGTA